CACCAAGGCCTTAAGTAGTGCAGGAGTAATCAGCAGCAATGGATGGCATGTGTGTAATTTATCAGTGATGGCAGACAGGTGAGTAGAGCTGAACAGGTGAGTACTGAGGCGGGGACCAGAGCCAGACTCCACCCTGGTGGTGAGGAGTGAAGGAAAAACAACAACAGACAGTCCAGGAAACCCTGGGACGATGACAGTGAGCTGTCCTTTTGTTCTTGGTTTCAGTGTTATTTTGTTCATTACTCAGACTGTCACTCCTTACACAACAACTACTGTTACTTGTGTGCTGCTCCTACCGCAAATGTCTGCCATGAGCTGGAATTACAGCTAATAGTTTATCACAGACTGTAATGAGAGACATGAGATTATAATATCTAGTATGTAGAGCTAATACAAAAAGCTGTAAAACTGATACTTTTGCACCTATGTGTACTTGTTTTGAACAATTTGGATAACCTTTGTGTTTATGAATCAGCCTCATTTTTATTGTAGCTAAAAGGCAATTCCTTTTTGTTTAAGTTAAATGTGACCAGAGAATGGAGCGCTACGTTACCAGCTAAGGCTAACAAGCTTCATCCAGGCACAGTGACCTGCTAATTAGTGCCAAGAAACCTTCAATTAAAAAACCAGAACCTCCAGCAACAAAACTGAAGCATAAATATCTCGAACCATTTGTTACTGAAATAACTGTAGTGCTTTTTTTTTTTTTTTACAGTGCACACACAAAGCCATGTTTTTACAATTTTCTTTGTAAAAAATGTTATTGTATGGCACTCTCCAGTGGCACAGCATTTGAGAAATAAAGTAAAAATATAAGATATGCAAAATATATCCAAGTAAAATAAAAGAAGCTGTAACAAGCTACATACATATTTCTACATTTTTTTTACTCTTTAAAAAGAACAAAGAAAACAAAATGAATATCTAGAAAATATATATAAATACGACAATCTTCCCTTCAAAATAAATACCAGTGAGTGAGCTGTGTTGGCGGAGGTTTGCTTCTTGTAGTTTCCAGTTTAGTTTTAGTAAACTATAATAACTTTGGTGCACGATATGAAAGACTTACACCACTTGCAGATACCATCTGGTGTTTTAAACAGACAGACATCACACTTTCTTGTTACATTTAGTTCCAAAGATTTAATATGTTGTTCTCATGACAAATCTGGAAACCCATTTGGTGTTTGCCTGACCTTTCTGTGTAGTTAGTAGTTATGGGCTACAACCTTCTGTTTCGTATAGGCACGGCTTTTCTATGCAGATGAATTAAAAAGTTAATCAGATCTTTTGCTCTCTACCACCGAATTTTGTACATTTAATCTAATTAATTACATTTAATATACATTTAATAAGTATCTGCTTGTAGATAATATTTGTGTCTAAAAAAAATATAAAGAAAGCACTTGTTACTATTTCTATAGCACTTTGTTTATGGTGTACAAAAAGAACAGGGCGTGTTTTTTAATTGGGAAATACATGCAACACATTTTTTCAGTTTTTCCTAGTGAAGCGATTTCTTTCCAATATGTGTCTTTGTTTCCTTTCGTGTTTCTGGAGTGACATATAAAACCCTGCTAAAGTTTTAAGTGTTTAACAACTGTCTTCTTTAAACGGGTAAATGTCCAGACTGAAGAAGAAGCAGTTAAAGATTCTCAATCTATAAACACGCTCATAAAAAAGAAAGGTGTGTCAGGAAAAACACAAAAAGCACACTGTGTGCCGTAGGTGGCAGCAGAGCATTCGTCTGGTTCGCTGTGCATGAAGCCCAAATAAAAACTGTCCCCAACTTAAAAGTTTAATCTTTTAAAACAACACTTTATGCCACTTGATCCTAGCTAGATCAGGTAAGAAAGGATTTGTGCAGAGCTGGTGAGAGTATCTCTCAGACAGAGACCCGAAGCTGTGACTCATCCGTGAGAATGTGACTCACAACACCTGAGAAATGTTTTCTCCCTCTCCGGTTTCTGTTAGATACCTGCTGATGATGTCATCGCATCGCAGTGTTTCACAATTCATAACAAGGAAAAACATCTGCATGAACAACACTTATGTATTTTAAAGTGAAACTACACCATTAGGTAGTTTCAGTGTAGCAACATGGGATTTCTAGTTATCTGCCACAAAATGTTGCGGGAATATTATGATGGCGGTCTTACAATAAAATTCGTTGAAAATAATAATTATAATAAAAAAACGCTTTTATTTGTTTAAAAGTAAAATTTATGATATGAATCAACACCACATGACATGGCGTCTATAGCCTTGGAGAGTTTGCCTTTTTCTACATGTTTTACACGAAACTCCACAAGCACGTCAGGAAAATATCAACACGGAAAACAGGGAAAAAGAGGGAAAAACACCTTAATAACCAGTTCCTTGCAGTTCCTAACAGATTCCTTTCTGTGTTAGTGAACCCAAAACACTAAAAGCCGATGGTTACATAGGCATTTAAAGGTATTTAAAGATGAATTCAACCAAATTTTAAACCAAAATTCAGTTTAGATCATTTTTGATAAATATAACAAGATGATGACGTCATAAGGGGTAAATGTTAAATTTATTTATGATTTGAAAGATGAAAATATCTCAACAGAGACAGAGAGGGCAAATATGGTCATGCCGGATTCAGGTGCGTTTCCCCCGCCCCCTCCCCCCGCACTGTGCCGCCTATGCAAATTAGCCTGACGTCATGAGAGTAATTCTCTTATAAATTTTACTGCTCAGGTCCTTCCTCCGTCAGGTGGACAACAACTACCAAACGGAATATAATCCAGGATAAGCTCTGCTTTGAATTTGAATTCAACTTTTAAGCGTGTGCTCGCGCTCGTTCGGTTCCTCGTCTCACCTGTGAGTGCGCGCGCTTTAGTTCCTCTCTAAAACAGGTTTGACCGGGACACACCTGCGCCGAGAAAAGGAGCCTTGTTGGGCGCGTCGAGGGCATTCTTCATTCGGTCTTTGACCTCTGCGGGAGACGGACGCATAGGAAGCGGACAGACGAAGACTTTTCTTTACGTTTGATCATGAAAATGTGGATTTTTGCTGTTCTCGCCGCTCTCGCGGTCGGAGCCTCAGCTCAGGACTGTAAGTAGTTTAAATTTGATATAAAATTGTTGGCTGAAAAATCGCGCAGTTCATTTTGACGTAGATTTGATGGAAGTTTTCACAAAAACAAACATTTTTAAAGTTTGAAGCAGCTTTATTTTTAAGACATAGATAAATTAGCTTTCTATGAGATGTAGTTTCGCTTGTTTTATTTGTTAAAATATTGTAATTAGTCGCCAGACCAAAAAGTTGTTTTTAATGTAACACTAGCTAGTTCAGGTGGGTGGGGGTTGGGAAGGTTTGTTCCGCTCTGTGGGGAGAAACCAACGCCCAGGCAAACCTGCTGGTCTACCTGTACGACTTAACGTCTCCGTTTCGAGCTATAAGGAAGACAAAAGACTAAATCTTTTCAAACACTGTCATACCAAAGATTCATCTTTCTATTGTATTCCAGCTTTAAGTGTGTGTGTGTGTGTGTGGGGGGGGTTCTCCCTTTCTTTTTTCTTTTTTCTTTTTTTTTTAAGCCTCGGGAAGTCACAGTATAGTAATGTGGTTACATATTTGAGTTCCTGTTAATAACCTGCCAGTGTGGTGGTGTTTTTTCCTTTTTTAGGTCAACCATGTGCCACTATGAAGTGGGCTACATGCGACGGATCCCCATGTTCATGTACTCTTCTGGTTGGTAATGGTGTTAAACAGCTCATAGACTGCACAGCATGTAAGTGATAAAGGGGCTCCTTCCTGTTTCATGTCCTCTGTTTGACACTCCAGCCTGCTCATGGTGTGCACTTTGTTCCCCCCTCAGTGATCCCCAAGTGCTTCTTGATGAAAGCTGAAATGTACAGAGCTAGAAAGGGCCTGAGCACTCGCACTATTGCAGGAAAGCCACACGAGACTGCCATTGTGGACAACGATGGCATCTATGACCCTGAATGTGAGAATGACGGCAGATTCAAGGCCAAGCAGTGCAACGGCACAGATGTGTGCTGGTGCGTCAACA